GAGCTTCCCCCCACGCACTGCACTCCAAGCAACGTTCTGGCCGATGCACATTTCAGGGCCAAATCATCAGGCTTTTTGAAAATTCCATTCCATTCCCTCCTGCCAAAACTCCCAAGTTAAAGGTGGTTAGGGTTAGGGTATGGTTCCCCGTTGAGGATCCTGCTGTGAGACGAATCAGAGCTCCATTCATTTATGTCATTTATGTCACTTGCTACTTTTAGGATCCTCTTTGTCCTTGACCTCTGAGAGTTTGAGTAGTGTAGACCTCGGGGTAGTCTCATTTGGGTGGGATCTGTTTGGTGTTCTCAGAATTTCCCGTGCCTGGATGTGTAAGTCCTTCTCAAGCTTTGGGAGGTCCTGCTGTTCTTTCTGTGGATCTGCTTTCCACCCGCTGCCCGTGCTCAGCTCTCTCCTGGACACCCACGATTCTCAGACTTGCTCTTCTGAGGTAATTTTCTGTCTCTTGTAGGCGATCGTCATTCCTTCTCGTTCTTTTTTCTCCTCTGTGTATTTTCAAAGAGACACCTTCAAGCTCACTGATTCTTTCCTCTGCTTGGTCCATTCTGCTGATCAGAGCCTCTAATGAGTTCATCAGTTCAGCAAATGTACTTTTCTGTTCCAAGATTTCTGTTTATTATTTCCATCTTTGTTAAATTCCTCTGATAAATGTCAGAAGTGATTTTCTGTGTTATCTTGGTGATCCCTGAGTTTCTGTAAAACAGCTATTTTTGAATTCAAGGTCAGAGAGCTCACAAACTCTCTTCTCATTAGGGCGACTACATTTTTGCTTTGTCCCTTTCTAAGAGGTCACAGTTCCCTGCTTCCTGTCGTTTCTTGTGGGTATACATCTGTCCTTGCATTAAAGGATTACTTATTACAGTTTTCTCTGTCGGGCTTGTTTTGGTTTTTATTGGATATTTTTGCTTAATAAGTCTTTACCACTTTGCCCCCTTTTCAGCTCCACATGGCATGTCAAGCCCAGGCTCACCTCGACTCCAGTATATGATTTGAGCTTTGTCTGTCCTGAACCAGGAAGGTCCCAGAAGGATTATCCCAGCAGTGTGAGAAGGCTGGTGAGGGGTTTGTGCCCAAGGGACCTGTGAAACATACCTCCTCCAGCTCGCTGCTGAACAGCCACTCTGATTTGGCGTCTCCTGTAGCTGTTACAGAGCAGTCTCTCCGGGGATGGGGATGGTAGCTCCCCTCCCCCATTTGTCACTGCCTGTTCTCAGAGATTTCTCCCTTCAGGCAGTCATGCTGCTGCCTGTGGGTCAATGCAAAGACGGGTCTCCTGCCAGGGAATCTAGCATGGTGGGAAAGCTGGTTGGCCACCTCAGTCTCACTCTTCCCAGTGTAAAAACCGTGAGTCACTGAGACGGTTTGGCTCTGTGTCCTCATCCAAATCTCATCTTGAATTGTAATCCCCATAACCCCCAGGGAGTTACCTGGTGGAAGGTGATCGGATCGTGGGGGTGGTTTCCCCATGCTGTTCTAGTGATAGTGAGTTCTCACAAGATCTGATGGTTTTACAAGTGTTTGACAGTTCCTCCACACACACACACACACACACACACTCTCTCTCTCTCTCTCTCTCTCTCTCTCTCTCTCTCTCTCTCTCTCGTGAAGGTGCCTGCTTCCCCTTCCACCATGATTCTAAGTTTCCTGAGGCCTCCCCAACCATGCAGAACTGTGAGTCAATTAAAACTCTTCTTTATAAATTACCCAGTCTCGGGCAGTTTTTCATAGCAGTGCACTAATACAGCCGGGGGAAGATTCTCCACTCACTTGTTGCTGGGGAGAATGTGGGGAAGCAGCATCATGGATGTAGAAAGTCTGGTTTTCCCACTATCTGCCTGGAGTTTCTTCACTTCTCTGCGGCCCCAGCATCTGTCTCATTCTCTTGAGTTCTGGGTTGCTGCTGGCGAAAATCTCACACTGTATATTTGCTTTTGGTTTTCTGTTGGGGGAGTGAAGCCAGCTTGATTCTATATCACCATTTTAAAGCTGAATATCCTCCAGGGCTAACTAAGAGCAGACCTTGGGCGGAACACTTTCTGTGCATTTGTAAGGACTTTCTACAGTGAACTCTCTGATGCTGAATGAACTTGGCGATATGGCTACAGGTTTTCCAACCGTTACTGCATTAATGAGGCCTTTCTGTTGTGAATCTTCTGGCACCGACAAAAGGTGAATCCTTTGCTGAATGCTTTCCCCCATCAGCTGCACTGGCAAGGCTCAGCACCACAGTGGATTTCCTGGTATTCAATGAAGCTGGAGTTGTAGCTAAGAAACTTCCCACATTCACTGCACTTACGAGACCTTTCTCCAGCACTGGGTTCCACATCCCCGGGTTCTCTGGTGCTGAACTGGGTTCCACGTCCCCGGGTTCTCTGCTGTGCACTTGCTGCTCATGCCCCCCTCACATGCCACATTTTGCAGGTGAAAGGTTCCCCTAACTTCGGTGCCCCCGTGTGGCTCCCCACACTGTGACGGCCTGCTGCTGAAGAGGCCAGTGCTGGGGCCCATCCTTGCTTCACACTAAGGGTTTCCCTGATGGGTGGACTCCTCAGCTTTCCACGAGGTCCTGCCCTCAGCCCTGCTGCAGGGTTTCTCTCTGCAGTGCTGATTCTGGGCTGGTTTAAATAGAAGCCAAAGCCTCTCCCACATGCCTCTCATGGGCATGGTTTCTGCCAGGGGCATGCTCTCTGGCACTCAATCAGGGCCAAAATGCCTTTCAAGGCTGGACATTTTCTCTTGGTCTCTCCTTATGGAAGATGATTATTCAGCTTTTGCTCACACACACTTCCCATCAGTCCTCCTCCCAACCTCCATTCTCCTAATAGGGTACTATCATAGCATGGTTACCGTGCAGTGCTTATTATTTTAGGGCTATATAAATACTAGTCACAACTGAATTATATAGCAGTATTTCTGTGGTAACTTTTTCTTTCCTATCCAACTTGTTCTCCTTGGAGTTATGTCCCTTGGTTTTCCAGGTACTTGTCAATAATTCATTCTCAGCTCCTATGCAAATCCTCAATGTGTTCAGAGGCAACAGGTGTTCTGTTAAGCCATCTTCTCTGGAGCCAGCACCAAACCGAGCCTGCCTGCCCTCCATGCTGAGAGCACGTCTGCCATCCTGGAACCTCCTTTTGCTATGCTCTGAGGAGTCACCTTGCGCTTTGCACTGGATGCCATTGCCCTTATGCCAGCCCTTCTTCTTTTGGAGTACATCCTCTAGTCCCTTTTTTTTTTCTTTTTTTTGAGACAATCTTGCTCTATCTCCAGGCTGGAGTGCAGTGGCGCAATCTTGGCTCACTGTAACCTCCACCTTTGGATTCAAGCAATTCTCCTGCCTCACCCTCCCGAGTAGCTGCAACTACAGGTGCATGCCACCATGCCCGGCTAATTTATGTATTTTTAGTAGAAACAGTTTCACTATGTTGGCCAGGGTGGTTTTGATCTCTTGACCTCATGATCTGCCTGCCTCAGCTTCCCAAAGTGCTGGGATAGCAGGCGTGAGCCACCGTGCCCCGCCTCTACTCCCTTTATTTAAAAGGGTGTGTAGAGGTGGGGTGCGTTGGCTCACGCCTGCAATCCCAGCCTTTTGGAGTCCAAGATAGGCAGATGGCTTGAGCCCAGGAGTTCAATACCAGCCTGGCCAACATGGGAAAACCTTGTCTTGACAAGAAATCAGCCAGGCATGGTGGCACATGCCTGTGGTCCTAACTACTTGGGAAGCTCAGGCAGGAGGATCACTGAGCCTGGGAAGTCAAGGCTGCTGTGAGCAGTGTTCATGCCACTGCACTCCAGCCTAGGTAACAGAGTGAGACCCTGTCTCAAAAAAATAATAAAAATAAATAAAAGAGTGTGTGGAATGTACATTTTTAAAGAGCCTACAAGTCTTTCGGCATGACTTTTAATCTGGAAATAACCTTCCTTCAGAATCTGAGAAGGCCCATCCATATTCCCTCAGTTTCCTATGTGGCATCTGAGGACTGCAAAGCTCTTCTGATTCCTGATACTCTATGTGTACTGTCTGTTCCTCCAGCACTGCCCTGGTGTTCTGAAACCTCACTCATGTGCCTGGATGTGACACTGATGTGCACTGGAAGACGCCAGGTGCTTTCTTCTTCCACTGTGTCAGCACTAGGTTAGCGGAGCCCTTGTAATCTAGAAACTTACAGCCTTCATTCTCAGAAGGCTTTTATTCACTGGGATCCACTGAAGGACGTGTGAGAGCATTTCTTGGGTCATGTTATGTATGAGTAACTTTAGGTCTTTCCTTTTAGGCTGGTGAGATTCCTCAAATAAGCCTCTTTCTGCTTACTTACAAGAGGATACGACAGAGCTGAAGACTTCAGACACTGAAGGTTGAGAGCGGCACACCTCCTGTGGCCTGTCACTCCTCTGGTTTGAGGTAGGCACAGTTGCCCAACTGTGTGGAATGGGGAGTCTAACAGCTCCTCAAACAGGCCTCTGCTCCTGGTTTCACCTTATCTCACAACTACTTCCAGAAGAACCTACAACTGGCAATTCCAGAGCCTCTGGGAGCTCTGCAATACAACTCAAACGCTCAGATGTTCCCATTTCTTTCTTACAATGTAGATTTCTCAGGTGTTTCTAAGTCAGCTACCATTTACCTAATTTCTGGAGAGCTTTCCAATTTTGTTGTGATTTTTAATCATCTTAGGAGATTTATGCTTTAAAAAAAAAAAAATTCCCTGTCATTTCCATGGGATTTCAATGGTAAACAGCCACATCTAGCTGCAGAGGCTGAGGAATGAAGCCTTTATTCTGGGAATCCAAGTACTGAGTCGTATCACCACAGACAGAAACAGTGGATGGCGATGGGAACTAGCAATCTCTGCCACATAAATCCAGCTAGTTTTGAGGCAGAGAGACTGAGGCTGCTGAAGAGAAAAGCCTTCTTTGCAGGAGGGCGGGAGAGGTGGCAGAGGTTCCAGGACAAGCAATGAAGAGGCAGAACACGCCAGGAGTCGCTGACAGATGAATGCACGTCTTTATTTAGTCCATTCATTCCAGGTTCATCCCGAATTTTCACATCTCACCCTCCCACTGTCAAAACAGGTCCCATGTAAGAGGGGGCCAAAAACAACAGGCTTGCCCACAGTCTCCATCACTTCCCATCCCACAGAACACTAGGGGAACAATGGCACCTTGCTTGAAATCCACAGGTTTCAAACACTTTTAGGGGCACAACTCTCTTCAAACTGGAAACAACAAGCCACTGAGTAAAACAGTCAGGGAGTTTCAACCTGGGCAGCATTTGGGGTACGTGCCTGGAGCCCCAAGTTCCCTTAGAGCAGTTAAAAACTCCTGCTTCAGAGTCCTTCTTTCTACCTTATCACTTGAAACTTTCCATAGAAAGAAAAAAGAACTCCCTTCTTGAAATGTGCACACCGATTTCATATGACCAACACTTCCACCTGTTGAAATAAACAGTCCACAAAATTAAGGCATTTTGGGGGAATTAGAGGGAAATAAAGCATTTATTAAAGTTACAAGAGCATATCAAAAATGTCCATTATGCTTTTGAAAGCTCTTAACTAGGCACAAGGGCAGAAACAGTCAAGGTCCCAGCCACTGCAGGCAAACACATCCATGACCAAAGCAGAAAGGGAGACAGAGGGCCGGTGGCAAGCATTCTCTTCAGCAGGTCCCCAGGCACCAGGCCCCCCTGCAAGTCATGCCTCGCATGCCCAACAGCAAAGAGAAGCAGTGGGAGCTGTGCAGACACCGCAGGGCAGGGCACTGCCAGCTCAATTACAGCAGCAACTGCACACATGAGACGGCTTGTTCATAAACGCCATTCTCAAACTGGTTTTATGGACATTCATGTGCTACCAAGTATATCTAAGAGACCCTGAAATCAGAGACTCGCCTGCATTCCAGGCACTGAGCAATCACATGTCAAGGCAACAGAAGCCCCTTCTGCCCAATTCACTTCTCCATCCCACTGTCTGCTGAGCATTTATAGTATTTATTCCACACGTCACCGTGCACTTCAAAATCTAAACATTCCTCTCTGTGGATTCTCCTAGGACATGAATCCCACCAACTTGCATCATGGAACCACCTAAACTATTTCATTCTACACTGAGAGATTCGGGTTTGGAGGGGACGAAGGAAGTGAGGCCTAAGTGAGAAAGGAGGTCATGTGGCCCAAACAGGTACTTCCAGGATAGTGATCCGAGCTGGCGGAGGTCCTGGAGGCCAGGCCTGCCTGCTGAGTGCAGATGGCCAGGTGAGGAGGCAGAAGCTGCAGCCCCAGAGCCAGAAGACCCACACTAGTGTCATCACCAACATACAGGGGGCCACAGGCTCCCAGGGCCCAGGTTAAGGGGGACAGTCCTCACCGAAGGCCACACCAACTTCCTGTGAGTATGTCTCACGGATCAAGGGGTAGCCAGAGGCCCATCCCCAAAGGTGTTTGCACTTCCTAAAACCGCACGCAGTGATCTCCCCACTTTCCTTGGACCATGAGGCAGTGGGAATGCTGCAGTGCTCTTTGCCAGTATACGGGCTGTTTAAGAACCCAAGAGGAATTTCTCACCAATATGTAAACATACACCACAGCTGGACTCCAATTCCCTGACTTCGGGGTTTCAGAGACAGGCGAACTGAAGATGAAATTCTGGGGCTAACAAACGGCAGCCAATGTTTCGTTTTGCAACCAAGAGCATTTCAAAAGCAAAAATATAGCCCTCCACTTTCACCTTCATTACATAAACGAACATTTTACCATCCAAATCAGGACAAAAATAACCTCAGAATAAAAGACAATCCTTCAAGTTGAATAAACGTGACTTCATCAATTATTTACCATGCTGTTTTCATACGCCTCACCTGCATAGAGCGCTCTGTCCCCATGCTACGCTGCGGGCCACAAGGACTCTGGTCCATCGGGGCCCATGGTCCAGCTGAGATCTCCCGGGTCACAGGCTCCTCCAGCCATCACCTCAAATGCTTTTGCACTGAGAACAGGGACAAGTCACCACGACAGCAGTTTCCACGCACATGGGGACTGTGTGTGTAACATAGGTGCTTTCCCAAGTGACCCCACAAAACCCCGCCGGGAAGGCACAGCAGGAAACCCTGTCCCTGTCTAAAGTAGAGCCACCACTGTGAACAGGGACTTGGCCAAGGCCACACGGAGGGCAGCACGGGCCAAGCGTCTCCCGCAAGCAGACTCTCCCTTGCCTCAGTCCTATGTCTGCTGAATCTTCCTCTCTTTCTCTTTCTCTCAAGAACGTTTAATTTGAAGAATCAATTCATAGAAAAAGAAAAAAGAAAACTTATTTAAACAATTGTCCTTTCTCTTTAACATTACCTATTTAACAAGTACATTTTAATTAAACTTCCAAATGTCAAAAGAAAACACCAAAAAAAAGCATTGTTGCCTTAAACACTTTTCTGGAACAAGGCAGAATATAAATTAAATAAATAAATAAATAACATGAGTGATACAAAGAGTCACAGAATGTGGGTAATATTGATGGGTTTATCTAAAACTCCTCACCCAGGACTCTAAAGCTGAATTCTCAGAGGTATCAATGTTGCCCCCCCGCCACACCCCGGCCCAGCCCAGACCAGCACATCTGTTGACAGCAGCCAAGTCCCAGGGCCCAGGACTCTGTTCAACAGCCAGCAGCTGCCCTGGCAGTGGTGACAGGACAGTCAGACACTCCCCGGACGCAGCCAGGGGCAACCTTCAGGCTCCTTCCTGCCAGCCCACTGAGCCCTTCTCCTGGGGAGGACTCTGAGCCAGCCAGGCAGCAGCCTCACTGAGGACCACATTTCCTGTGTCGCAAGACTTAGGCGCCCCAGGGCTTAGGAAGGTGATTTTATAAAGTGCTCAGGTGGAGAATGCAGCTCTTTCCTGTCCTTGCCAACAGAGGAAAAAGGGAGCTTTAGTGAAGGGAGTATCACTAAAATCCAGGAGGAATTCCCTCAGCTACCACACTGTTTTCAGATTCATGTTTGGCAGCTATGAAACAAGACAGCAAACTTCCAAGTTGTTTGGATTCTGAAAAACTCCGCAAAGGCTGGCTTGAACAAAGAGGAAGTTGAGTATGTTCTCCGCAAATGCAAAGCTGAGACCCTTGACACCCGCAGGCCAGCCAGGGCAGGCCACAGGCAAGGAACACGAGAGGCCCCTCCTCCAGTTCCTTCTCTTTCCAGACACATCATTCCCTGGCCAGGTCTGGGTGAGGCTCCTCTGCAAGGATCCATTCAGTCCATTCCTTCTAGAGACCAAAGGCAGTGGCCTGGTCCTTCAGAAGCAAGCCCTGTGCTGTGCAAAGGAGCGTGATGCGCACACTACCACACGTAGGTCCTCGCCTCCGTGCAGCCTGAAGGTCACACCAGCGCACTCATACATGGGACTTCCATGAGGCAGCATTCCCAGGTGCTGCTTCCTAAAAGGTCCAAGAACTGAGCCACCTTCTACATCAGAAGGATGAGGCCTCCCCAGGCCTCTGCAGAAAGCACTCAGTAGGGCAGACGCAGAGCATGTCACGTCTACAATATGGCTCACCTTGAGAAAAGCCACCCTCCTCTCCTACCCTGATCCCAAAGTGTGGCAGGTAGAAGAGACTCATGAGGTGGGAGGGGCTAAACAGTAAGCCCAGAAAGATCCCAGAGTTCAGGGAGCTAAGCAGCCTCCTTGAAAGCCCCTCTCAGCACTACCAGGGTGATGAGCCACTGCCTATGACCTCCAGTGACAAGGTCCAGTCCGCTTTGGTGGCTCCAACTTCCATATCATCATTCCTTAACTCCCTATAGCTCCTGCCCTAGCCCCTAGCCCCAGTCCTAGTCCCACTTTGGGTGCCACAAAGAACACACCTACCCCCTCTTCCGGGCTGAAGCCCCGGCAGCACCCGGCTCCAGCTGTCCTGGCCCTCCCCAGCCGCTCACCGCCTGCGGTTCCTCTCCTCTCTTGGGAAGGCCCTCCTGACTTCAGCAGGACCCAGTCCCAAGCTCCCCTTAGAACAGCACACAGCCCACATTTGCACAGCCATCACAGCTTCTCACAGTGTTACCTCAGCTGAGGAAACACCTCCAGGATTGCATTTCCCCTCTCACTCACCCAAGGACTATTCTTCCCTTGGGGACTCCATCTGCACGCAATCGGGTCAGCTGAGGTGACCCACACAGAGCCCATTTGTGACACGGGGTGGGGGGTATAGAACTCCATCCTCGGGCTGTAGAACGCAATAATGGCCAGGCACTGCCTGCCTGCTAAGACACACAGTGATGCTAATTAGTAAAACATTATCATTGTTCAATTTTTACAAATTGGATTTCTCTTATTATAGAAAATCTAAACAGACTTGAAATCTGCTCCTTCCTAAATATGTCCGAAGTCCAGAATCACCATGGATCCATACAATGGTCCTCACGGGCTCCAAATGACAAAATGTGATTCATGGGAAATAGCAGCAACATGGGAGAGCTCTGAGGCCACAGTCACCTGCCCACTTGCCAGTGACCCTCACACCTGGCTGCACAGCCCTGGGTAAGGGGAAGCCCCACCCGCACAGGCAAAGCTATCAGCAATGATAACCCAGGTCATCTCTCTCCCCGCCACCATTCCCAGCAGGCCGGGAAAGACTTCTGACCTCACTGCTATCCCCTTGCGTAGATTCTAGAAGCAGCTATTGAGACAAAAAAGAGCCATCAACCAACTGTCAGATGTTCTGTCCACTGGACACCATGCACCTGGAGGCTAGAACCATCCAGAGGACCCACTGCCTTTTTCATTTTCTGGTGTGTGTAGGGGACAGAAGACAGTGCCGTGGGCATTTTCCTCGCCTGTTAGAACTGGCAGTGAATGCTGTTGGAACAGTCCTTGGTCCCAAGGAAGGCAGTCATTTCCTGGGCAGTTTGGTGTGGGCCTCCTAAAATCAATCACTGGAAGCTCCCTAAGGTGAAGTGGCAGAAAAATCATGACACTTGATGAGAGGTACAGCAGGTAACACCGCAGGTGCTGTGCAGCCAGAAAACCACCCCTGAAGAAGACAATCACTACGACACCCGACCAGAGAGAGAAGACTGAAGTGCAAGGAAGGGGTGTGTGGACCAGTAGTGCATGTTACCCCAGGAGCAGGGAAAACAAACTAGCAAGTTCATGAACTGCATTTCTGTCCTCTGTTTTGCTTACAAAACTCCCTTTTCACTTAGATACGAGGCTTTAATCAAACAATCAAATTGAGAAGTAGAAAAATAAATAGAAGCACAGTTCCAGAAGTGCTAGGAGTCTTCCCTCCAGGGAAATTACTACACCTCCAACCTCAGCCCCTACGTGTACATATTCCATGGCCCGCTACATTAATATGCAACTGAAAATCCAAAATAGAGAACTTGGGAAAAACAAAAATAACTTTTGTATGAGCCTCTGGGCTGACGACGACCCAAGGACTGTTCAGAGGCCCAGGCACCTGAGGAGGAATGACAGTCCACGAGGACATCTTCTGCAGCAACAGCCACCGGGGTACCGCCGGCAGCACAGCACGCAGGACTCAGTGTCCACCTTCCCTGCATATCACCTTCTCCCTCGCTGGAATCAACCGCTGCACTGAGATCTACTCATGAAGTAGAAACTTCTTTAGGGGATCTGGTAGAGGCAGTGAAGGAATCAGATGAAGCCGGTATTTGCCAAGAGTTCTTCTCACAGACACACGGCACAAACTCAGCAGTGTTCTGGGAACACCTGGAGGTCACGGGAAGAAAGGGAGGGACAGAGGAAGGTTAATTCTAGCCTAGCTCTAGTGAGCAAAGGCAGCTGGGACTGGCAGCCAGAACTGCACAAATGCTCACTACCAACTTCAAAATGCTCAGTGAGACACAAAGTGATGGCTTTTCCTGATGGATGAAGAGAGGAGGCCCCAGGGAGGAAGGTCTCATCTGCTCCTTCTGCTGCAGGAAGGAGCGAAACCCTTACAGCCTCATTAACCCAGGCGTCTGCTCCCTGGGTCGCAACTTGACCATGTTTAACGCACTAGACAAAGAAATCAGAGTGGACCACTGAAGGTCCTGGCAGGTGCAAGCCACTGGCACCTAGCCTCTGTCAGCCTCTTCTCTTGGTCAAACCCTGAAGCTCCACAAAAACCTAAGGAACACAGGCGGAGCAGTGCCCACGGGGCACAGGCTGACGACTTTGCTCCCAATGAAAAGAGCGAAGCCAAGTTCTGCCTCAGTTATGGAGGAAGCTGATGAGTGGAACAGTCATGAAAGCAAGCTGCTTTTTCTATCAGTATGGTTCCCAGCTGACCGTCAACTGTTTGCAGGAAGGCTACACAGGAGCGTGCTTTAATGAACTGGTTTAGGGAAATCGAGCAACAAAGACACAACAAATTTAGTCCTTTAAGAAGCAGGGGAAAGGAAGAGGTTATTAACTTGGATGTCTCGGGACCCAGTCTGGGAGCGGTGGGAGAGGGAGACATGTGGGCAGAAGGTCAAAGAGGACACATGAGGTCAGTGCCTGAATCCCAGTGAGAGCCTCAGATGACAAGACCAAGCCACGGATCAATTCCAATCTCTCATGCTATTGATGCATTAATCGTTAAAAAAATCCTTCTTCATAAAACCTGATTGTAACAAAACTGAGGTTTATCACACAATCCAAAATATCGATACTTGAGTGGAACTGAAGAAAGGAAAGTGAGGAACCCTAGAAAACCGCTTACAATTTGTTTTAAGGGCTCATTTAAAAACCAGGCATAAAAGAAGTCACTGTCTGTAAGAATCTGGGGCCAGAAAGCAGAGCAAAAGGATAAAGAGAATATAATTCTAGGCCAGGGCAGTGGCTCGTGCCTGTAATTCTAGCACTTTGGGAGACCGAGGCAGGCAGATCACTTGAGCCTAGGATTTCAACAAAAGCCTGGGCAACATATCAAAACCTCATCTCTACAAAAAATACAAAAATTAGTGTGCGCCTATAGTCCCAGCTACTTGGCAGGCTGAAGTGGAAGGATCACACAAGCCCCAGGAGGATATGGCTACAGTGAGCCATGACTGCACCACTGTACTCCGGCCTGGGTGACAGAGCGAGACCCTGTCTCAAAAAAGGAAAGAGAGAGAGAGAACATAATTCTAGGAGTTCTGACAACACATGTACTTTTAGAGACCTCCTGATACCGATTCTTGGTATCCAGGAATTTAAAAAGAGAAGACCAATCTGAATAACCGTCTGGAAAACTGTAAGTGCTAACTGGAAGATTTTGGCCAAGTGCTCAGAAGATTTTTTGTTTTTTGTTTATTGCTACATGATTCATTTAATCCACCCAGCCCACAAGTCAGAGCTGAACTCGGGCCACTTACTTCTGGCCTCTTTAAAGATCTGCAAGGCCTCGGGGTCCACCTTTCTTCTTCCTCTTGACTCTGGACCCAATGACTCCCACTTCACCAGATTCAGGTTGGCTCCAAACTCCACCAGCAGGCTCACGAAGGCTGCCTCACAGCCATGACGCAGGACTGCATCCATGACGCACCCAGGAGAGCCCCTGTAGAACCCCTGCGTGTTGACAGGACCGTTGCAATTGAAGTCGGGGTTCGCTCCAGCCAGAAGGAGCAGCCGGAAGCACTGGAGGTTGTGGTAGGCTGCACTGATGTACAAGGGGCAGACCACCAAAGAGGTGAGCCGCCGGGAGAATCGGGGCTGGACATCAGGAGTCAGGTGGTGATTGACATCAACATCGGCCCCATACCTGCAGGGAAGAAAGGGAAGTCAGACTGTGCAGGGGACCGACCACAGCCCACAGATCCCACACCAGGGGCTACAGGAGACTTCACAGATCAGATTGATCCGGTGACACCAGGTGCTACAGGAGACTTCACAGATCAGATTGATCCGGTGACACCAGGTGCTACAGGAGACTCCACAGATTAGATAGATTGATTACATCCAGCAAGATAAGGTAGCTGGAAAGAACTTGGAATCCCTGCACATACAATAATTCCTAAGGGAAGTCTCCTTCAAACCTTTAAAGGTCCAATAATCCCAAGGCTATTTAAACTATTTCGGAGCAAAGAAAAAGAAGAGAAACTTCCAAATTCATCTGATGAAATTGGCACAATACCCCCAAAACCCGACAAAGGCCAAAGCATAGGAAAAACTACCAACTAATTTCATTTGAGTATCAATTTTAAATCTTCCATGAAATATTAGCCAAAGAGAATCCTAACGCATACTAAGAAAGCAATATTCCATGACCTCATAGGAGTTATCCCAAGAACGCACACAGGGAGCTCCAATACTATAAACACTATGAATACAATCAAATGTAAAACGAGGCTAAGGGGAAATTCCTCTGATTATCTCTGCAGATGCAAAATTTTAAAAAAAAAGAGGGCATATGACAAAACTTAAGAGCTGTGCATGTTCAAAAATGCTCAATAAAACAGAGAGTGATGGCTTTTCCTTAACATGATAATACATATTTCCTCAGGCCGTAAGTCAGTATATCATTTAACAGGGAAAGGCTAGAAGCACTCCTGCCAAAGCTGGATAGAGACAGACTGCTGCTTTCCAGCCTCCTAATGAACACGGTGTTAAAGGTACCCCATGCAGTTAGTCAAGAGAAACAATTAAATGCATAAGAGTGGAAAATAAGAGGTAAAAAATGTCCTATTTTCAGAGGATATGATATGTCTGAAAAGCCCTAATATGGAAAAACTAATAAGCAATGAGATAACTTACTGAAGTAACAGGCTGTAAAACCAAGAGCCTTCACATAAAAAGAAAACTCCATTTATGACAGCAAAATAAAGTTTACAATGACCTATCTAAGCATAAACTTCACAACAAATGTCCGGAATTTGCATAAGGCAAATACAAACTATTACCGAATGTGAACAAAGGTAGACCTAAGAGAAAGGAAGGACACGGCCCAGTGCTGGGTAAGACTCCACACTGTTAACATAATGCCCCTAAATTTATTTCATAAATCGAAGTATCATTACTAAAATAAGTTGATTACAAACATAAATAAATAAAAACAGCATCCCTGGAGCTGCATTAGTTGATTTATAAACTTCATCTGTAAGATCAAACAAGATGAAAAAGTCAAGCAATAATGTAGGGTGGGACGTAGCCACACCGTAAGTGAAATTTACTATGAAGGCTAAAAATAAAACTGTGGTATTGGTATGTGAACAAAACTGACAGAATAATGGAACTTTACAGAAAATCTTGAAATGGGCCAAACTGCATATAGAAATTTCATATATAAATAAAGGAGGCATCTCAAATAAGGGAGGGAGGTGGATATCTTAATAAGTGTTTTTTGGGATAACTGGACATCCATATGGAAGAAGGTAAAAGTAAATCCACTCACCATAACATATACTGGAATACATTCCAAATGAATCAGAATTTAAAATGTGAATATGAAACCATGCAAAAACTAGAAAAAAACCTCCAAGTAAAATTCTGCCTAATTCTGACACAAAATCCACATAGAATGTGTTTTTAACATAAAAAATTTGAAAAGAAAAACTTTTGCATGGCATAAGCATGACATAACAATATAACAAAGTAAAACAATCAATGAAAAATTGGGGAAAAATGTTACAAAGGGTTAATATCCCTAACATATAAAGACCTTCTAAAAGAAAAAGACCAATAGCCCTGTAGAAAAATTAGAGAGATGGGGACAGGCACAGTAGCTCATGCCTATAATCCCAGCACTTTGGGAGGCCAAGGCAGGCAGATCACCTGAGGTCAAGAGTTTGAAACTAGCCTGGTCAACAAAGCAAAACCCTGTCGCTACTAAAAATACAAATGTTAGCCAGGCGTGGTGTCATGCACCTGTGATCCCAGCTACTCAGGAGGCTGCAGCAAGAGAATTGCTTCAACTTGGGAGGCAGAGGTTGCAGTGAGCAGAGATGGTGCCACTGCACTCCAGCCTAGGCAACAGATTGAGACTCCATCTCAAAAAAAAGAAAAAGAAAAGGTAGAGAGATGGACAGCTACAAATGGCTCTTAGCCACAGGAAAAGACACTCAGCCTCACTCAGAACAGAAATGCAAATTAAAACTATTCTGAGATATCATTTCTCAACTATCAGATTGGGAAAAATCCAAAAAGTTATTGACCAGGTTAGAAAACAGAAAGTCTCACTCACTGTTTGAGCAATGAAAAGTAAACACTCCCCCTATGGAAGGGGAAAATCTGTCAATCACTAGCAAAATTACATATGCATTTAACCTGTCAATCTATCACAATTCTCAGGATCTATCTCCAAAATACATCTGCAAAACTATGAAAACATGTATGCACAAGGCAATTTATTAAAGCACTATCCATAACAGCTGGAGACAGTAAACCACCCACATGTCCACTAACAGGGGACTGGCTGAATGAACTTCGGCTCATCTGCACAATGCAGCACCGTGCAGCTCTGAAAAGGAGTGAGGAGGGCTGCTATACACTGCTCCAGAACGGCCTCCAAGCACAGGAAGAGGGGGAGGAAGCAGGACAGTGAGAGTGGACAGTCCACTACTGTTTCTATGGGGGAGCAGGTTGCAGTGTGCTCATGGTAAACCATGGAATTTTTTAATGGTTATCTACTGGGAAGGGAGAGAACGGAATGAAGGAGACAAAGATACAAGCTAGACTTCCAAAAATTTGTACCCTGGCCAAGCATGGTGCCTCATGCCTGTAATCCCAACGCTTTGGGAGGCCAAGGCAGGCAGATCACTTGAGGCCAGGTGTTCGCTAGCCTATATGGCAAAACCCAGTCTGCTAAAAATACAAAAAAAAATTAGCTGAGCATTGTAGCATACACTTGTAGTCCCAGCTACTCAGGAGGCTGAGGCATGACAGTCACTTGAACCCAGAAGGCAGAAGCTGCAGTGAGCCAAGATTGTGCCACTGCACTACAGCCTGGGCAACAGAGCAAGATTGTCTCAAAAAAAAAAAAAAATTTATACCTTGTTTTATTTGACTTTGGAACCATGTAAATTTTTAATGTTATAAAACAAAATTAAGTAAAAAGCAATCCTTAAAAGTTAAAAGCAGCCAGGCGTGGTGGCTCATGCCTATAATCCTAGCACTTTGGGAGGCAGAGGCAGGCAGATCACCTGAGTTCAGGAGTTCGAGACCAGCTTGACCAACTTGGCGAAACCCCATCTCTACTAGAAATACAAAAATTAGCTAGGCATGCTGACCAGCACCTGTAATCCCAGCTATTCAGGAGGCTGAGGCAGGAAAATCGCTTGAACCCAGGGGGGCAGAGGCTGCAGTGAGCCGAAACTGCACTACACTCCAGCCTGGGCAACACAGTGAGACTCCCTCTCAAAAAAAAAATTTTTTTTAAGCAAAAAGAAACACATGAACTCAATCAGGTATCCAGCTGGTGCCATAAAGTGCTGCCCACAAGGACGTCTCTCTTTTCAGGCACACTAACCATCCAGACTCCTGTGATTAGCACAGACCACTCCCAGCGTCAGGTTCACTTGGAAGGCCCCAGGCCAGGACGCACAGCTTGCTGGCAGGGGAGCGTCACGCAGCTCTCCACATGGGCATGCACACGGCCATGAGCAAGGTAACCCCTAGGCTGCCCCTCCTGACCCCCAGCAGCAGTCTGGATAGGAGGAAACAAATCTCACACAGGGCAGGTGCAGGAGCCACCTGACTTATAAGTCTCTTGTCCACCAAAGCCAATCTCTAAATGACTCCACTGACTTTACTTGCCCTTGTCATTCTACTCAGAGATGACCAAATACACTGCTCTCCATCAGGCACTTAGGGTTCTTCCAGGCCAAGTGCAAACTCCTAATCATTTTTACTCTCAACAGGGATCAGCCAATGAGGGGGCCCTGGCTCCCAGAGTCCTGGCAAGAATGGCTACCTGGCAAGAATGGCTACCTGGCATGAGGCATAAGAGCACAAACAAGCCAGGAGCCATGTATGGGAAGGGGCCGCAAAAGGAGGCTGGCTGGTGCCACACAGGGGACAATATGGCCAATACAAGTAGTGTGTGAAGGGGCAGGGGAGCCAGGTTCTCGCTGGTGAAAGGAAGAAACTAAGAAGAACCTTGTGGCGTTAGCCTGAATTAAGGGTAGCCAGGTGAACTCCTGTCAATGTATATAAAGAAATATAGACTGGACACAGTGGCTCACGCCTATAATCCCAGCACTTTGGAAGGCCGAGGCAGGCAGATCATGAGGTCAGAAGTTCAAGACCAGCCTGACCAACCCAGTGAAACCCCATCTCTACTAAAAATGCAAAAAAAAAAAATAGCCGGGTGTGGTGGTGAGCGCCTGTAATCCTAGCTCCTTGGGAGGCTGAGGCAGGGGAATTGCTAGAACCAGGGAGGTGGAGGTGAGCCGAGATCACACCACTGCACTCCAGCCTGGGTAACAGAGTGAGACTGTACCTCAAAAAATGAATAAATACAGACAAAAATGTGGAATATACATACAACCTTAGCTTGGTCCAGGAGGAGGGTGTGAAAACAGTGACACCCCAAAAGCAACAGGCACTCCTAGCGTCCAGATGTAGGTTTCTGCACACCATTCTTCTAAAAGAAACCTTGGAGAAATGACTTATTCCAGGTCTGAGACAGTCAAAGTGCAAGATGGGCCTAGACTATCTTGCTCCATGAGAAAGGAACTACTCACAGAATGATAAGGACATGCCAAAAGGCCAGAGAAGGCTTGAAGCAGCTGCCAGTAGCCAAATCTGGGACAATGTGGATTTCAAATTACATAACAATAATAATGAATTATACCTCACTGAATAATATCAGAAACCATGATTCTACACTAACAAATAAATAAACGAACAATTAAAAATCTGAGATGAACAGGATATATACACGGTTGCAGAGCGCCTCTCCACAGAATCCCTACAGAGAGAACAGAAACAGCTTTTTAGCACTGAAACATGGCAGGCACCATCCTCCTCAATCACAGCGGTGAGTATCAGCAGGAATGGACACGGTGAGATCGTATGCAGCCTGACGGAGGGAAAGGGAACACACCCTCGCTTCAAGACTCCCGCCCAAAACGCACCAGTGACTCGAATCTGAGTAACATTAGTCAGCACCCGTTTTCTTGAACTTTCCTCAAACCCACACGGCCCCACAATGTCTCACAAGATTCATCACCACCAAAGTATTTCATTTGAAAATAGGAAAGGGCAGTATGCGGAGAGCAGCGATGGCAGGGCCAGAACACACAGGGCGCAGAAAGGACAGAACAGCGTCGTCTTCCATGCCATGCCGCACAGCACTGGCCAGCAGGAACAGCTGGCAACCAAGCTTTCCTTTCCAATCGCCTCCTCAGCACCATCCTGAGTGTCCACAGAAACGTTCTCCTGGAACCAAAACAGCTGCTTTCGGGCAACACAGGCCTGAGGATGAGAACATGGACCAATACGCTCACATGACAATTTAGCTTCCACAACAAACACAAACATCACTCACTCTCCAAGACATTCTAGGAGTGACAGGGGAAGCATTCTAAAACACACAGAACCAACAAGAAATTCGCATTTCATTTCATACACCCAACCAATTAAGCAAAGGAAAACTAGATCTCAAGCAGTGATGGCTTTTTTCTCTTTATTCTTAGGGAAAATCTTCCGAAACATTTGTAATGTTGGGCAATATGACAATCTGGTATAAGCTGAGCTGTGGGAAAGATAGCCCTTCATCCACTCATAAAAATATACTGGATGAGATCCAGTTAATTTTAATCCTGAATTTTTTCCAAATTCTTCAATTGCATTTAATATCACTGTCAAGGAACCACTGGGAGAACTCAATAAATATAACTTTTGCACATACAGAAATACCATTCTGTACCTTTTCTCAAAAATATGAGCAATATATACCAAGGGAATTGACAAATAACAAAATGAAGGTGACTTACAGAGGGACGGAAACTTGCAATCGTGAAAGATGAGAGCCCTGTCCAAGAGGGAACTGGCACAGGGAAGGCAGAGCGAAGTGATTTCCAGATAACCTCGCTGTTCAGTAACTTAACCACATCACTCTACCTTCCAACAGTCAATTATCTTGGAATTTAGACTACAGGAAACTTTTTAATAGGATAATATATGTTACTGGTACTGCCTTGTAAAAGTAATGTCCTGTGCTCCAGTGAGGGAGTAAGGTGTCTTAGTAATGTTTTCACAAGAAGGGCATCTGTGTACATACTTCTCGGTCGGCCGACAGGTAACAAAGCACTTGTGCATCAAGAATTAACTCAAATGCCCAAAGGGATTTCTGGAACCAAGATGGAATTTCACTGATTGATCCTATTCAAAAACACTTCCAAATTAATAGCTTACATTCTCCAAGACACTGAGGCCAAGCATGGGACTGAGGTAGCTTCATCAGGTTAGAAACCCTTAAAAAGAAGAAAAAAGCCTCACTTTAGCATCCTCTTAACGTAACGACCTTACCACTCTCATTTCTTTACCTCCCAAAAGCCAACTGTGCAGCTGTTTAATTCATAAAACTGGAAAAGCTTATTCTCAGTGCCTCACTTAAAAAACCATGTTCTCTGCTGGGTAAAGGGAATGCCAGGTCCCTGCTCCTCAGAACCAACCTGGCTGCAGCCTCTAACAACAGAACCCTTCCTTACCTAATCCTTTCCAATACGGAAACATTTCCCTGAGAACCAGCTACCTAAACTGCACCCTGTTCAAATGCAGAGCAATTTCGTCTCCAGAGTAACGGAGGGGAAAAAAGCATCTTTGCTGGAAAGAAGTCACTAGAAACATGAAAAATAAAAACACGATCTGGTTCCAAAGAAAAAAAAAAGGCAACCATTAGTATGATTCAAATAAGATGAAAACGTAACAAAACGGAAGGGGAAAAGCAACGAAAACATACATGAAGAAAAGGTATCAAATACAAACGGTTACAAAACAGAAAGATAACAGAAATAGACCCTAACATCAGCTACAGCAATCATGTTAACTGTATTAAAAACCAAAACTCCTAGACAAACAGTTCTACCCAAGTGCAAACAGAACTACCGAAACGCGCCAGGCTTAAGAATATCATATAATGCCATGTAAACGGGCCTTAGATGAAACTAGCGGTGCTCTTGTTTTGATACAACATCAGACGTAAGCAGGAACTTTCATGAGCTCAGTCAGCATCAACATTTTCAAAACAAAACCTACTCAAAGTACGAGGGGAAAAATGGCAAAATCACAAATGTGATCAGAGACTAACAGACTTCTTTAAATTTCTGGCAGATCCAATGGCAAGAAAATGTAAAAAAAAGAAAGAAAGTGAACCTAATTTAGGTTAACAAAGTATAATATGTAAATAAAACACCCGTCATGTACTTGTTTCAGGCATTCACAATGTAATCTGACGTTAATAAGTAACAGTGGTAAGCCAGCATGGTGCTGCACAGCTATCCGTCAGCTACCAGGAAGGCTGAGACTGGAGGATCACTTGGACCCAGGAGTTTGAGGGTGCAGTGAGCTATGATCACACCACAGCACTCAGGCCTGGGCAACAAAGTTAGACCCCATCTCAAACACTAAACAAAAATAATAATAACAACTTCTTTAAAATTCAAAGAATCCCCAAAATGAAAACTCTATGGTCCAGATCATCTGAGTATAATATAATAAAAGTGTTATTAAAACCTCACCTTCCATAACTCTAAGAACAGAGAGGAAAGCAACTTCAATTAGAGCTACTTTAAAAATGAGGAGAAAGCTTAGAGAGGATGATCAAAACTATAGTCAAAGGTTAAGTTAACCTTACGAGTTTTCATTCTTTTTTTTTTGAGATGGAGTCTCACTCTGGAGTGCAGTGGCACGATTGTGGCTCACTGCAACCTACACCTCCCGGGTTCAAGCGATTCTCCTGCCTCAGCCTCCAGAGTAGCAGGGACTACAGGCACTTGACACCACACTCAGCTAATTTTTTTTTTTTTTTTTTGTATTTTTAGTAGAGATGGGGTTTCACCATCTTAGCCAGAATGGTCTTGGTCTCTTGACCTTGTGATCTGCCTGCCTTGGCCTCCCAAAATGCTGGGATTACAAGCATACACCAAAGTTTTCATTCTTAATTTAAAAAAAAAAAAAGGACTAAGCATTCAACTCAAAAGGGAAAAAAATGAAAAATCAGAAAAAGATAAAAGCAGATATAAAAGAACACGTAGGCAGAAAAACAAAGAGAGCTGATAAAGCCAAGAAGCAGCTCTTTACAAAGACCAGCAAAACAGGCGAGTCATCCAACAAAGCGAATTCTAAACAGAAAAAAACTGCAAATACGGAGAAGAAAAGTGAAGTGGCCGCAGGAGCCCGGCAGTACCGACCTGATGAGAGCCTTCAGGATGTCAGCCCGGCCCACACGAGAAGCATGGTAGACGGGAGTGCTGCGATGGTGCCGGCTTCCGTTGGGATCCGCGCCTGCTTCGAGAAGGATCTGGGCACTCTCTAGGTGCCCGTTCACCACAGCCACATACAGGGCCGTCTGTCCTTTTACGTCCACCAGATCCACCTCAGCCCCCTTCCGGATAAGGAAGTCCACACAGTTCCCATGGCCTGCAGTGGCCGCGATTCGCAACGGTGTGCAGGGGAGCCAGCCACAGCACCAGACAGACTTCTCGTTGATGCGGCTGCAGGAGGAACACAAGGGGGCTCATGAGATGCAATCCCAGGACAAGGGCAGGCTGCACTGCCCCCCTCACCCTGGCCCATAGACAGACTCCCAAGGTGACTGACATAGTCCCCCGCTGGTTAATAACACCTGCAGTTAATGGGCTCTGCCTTCTGAAATGCTGAACCTTTCCCCTGTGGAACCTGGGCAGGGCAGGGCAGGGCAGGCGTTACCAGCCCCATTCCAGAGACAGGACACTCGAGGCATCAGCAGAACGATCAGCACAATCCTGAGACCCTAGTTCTTAGATTTCCTGACTGCTGTCCGAAGAGCCCTCCTCTACAAAGGTGGAAAAGGTCTGCCTGGGAGGCAGTGCCGAATGAACAGCGCACTCACCCAGGAGTCTGGGTCAGGCCGCTCTTCCTCAGTTACCACGTGTGAAGGCTTGAGACTGGGCCTCTCTCTGGGCCTCAGCATCGTCACCAGGACTAGGTGACTATGTAGGGCCCCCCAACCTCTAACACTGAACAAATGATGGCCTAAAGGATCACTATGGTGGCATGGGTGCTACACCCCAGGCCAACAGCTGCAGAGGAACCTGTCCAGACTCAGCTCTCAGCAGACGTCGCAATCAGACTGCAACTGCCTGCCTCAACCACCAACCCAGCAAGGCAGCAACCACAGCCAGTTCACAGCGAGCTCCCGGTGTAACCGAGAACAAAGCTCAGGGCCCAGAGCATCAAACCAGGCCCCAGGAACATGCAGCAGGGCCCCAGGAACAGGCCCCTCCTGGCTCCGCCGCCAGCTGTGCTCCAGCTCTGACTGCACGGGACAGTCAAGGGAGGAATGCTCCAGGAACTCATCACCAAAGAAGTGACGAATAGCAACAGGAAAACGTAAAGAAACAGAGACGCCCTGGACCTGAGTAAAGGAAGAAGAATAAACAGTGCTGGGAAAAGCAATAGAATAGACTTGGTCTGAGGCCTCACTGAACTGTCTCATTCTACTGTTACATCTGCAAGTTTAATTCAGGTTTGCTTTGGGCTTGAGTCACCCACATTAAATATTTGTACGTGACCCATCCATCTTCATCTGACAGTCCTTTCTGGTATTTCTCTTTTAAAAACTGATACTTTTCTGATGAAATACCAGTAAGACACTAGAAGGAAATGAAGAAACATATTCCTGTACTGTTAGAAATCCTTTTCTTAAAGGTGGTGGCATTAGTCTCAGCACCGACATGCAGGCATCGTTTCTATCCACGCACTGCCATGTGGGTCCGAAGGAACAGCAGAAACACAAAAGCAGCACGGACAGCTCCCGGCTGCAGCTGAGTTTAAGCTTCAGCTGGGACTCCAACCTTAAACCCACAGAAGAATCAGAGAGCACTCCAGAGAGCAGGCAAATTCTGCTCTCCCAGGCGTCCTGAGCAGGGAGAGGGAGGGGCAAGCATCGGCTGCCGTGAACAAAGGGCTGGAGCAGTTTTGTGGGGACAGGCAGAATTTGACAAGGCCAGGGTAGGGGACCACTGATAAGGAGAACAGTAAGGAGAAAGGTGAGGAGGCAAAAGGGCCTAAGGCTGAGGCCTAGGTCCCAGGGGGCAGACGACTGAGGGCCTGAGAAGCAGAGGAGAGGGCGCCAGGGAAGCTGGTGAAGGAAGGTGAACGTACAGAAGCGCCTGAGATCAAGAGCCACAGGAGACCCAAGATGGGGCAGGGCGCCACTGAAGAGGGAAACGGTGCTGCCTTCAGGGGTGACATCAGGAGGCTGAGGCCCACAGAGGCCCAGAAGTTGCCAGAAAACACTAAGGTCAATGACAGAGCAGGACCTGAAGTCAGGTCTCCCTGCCCACACTATCTGGCTGTCTCCTACAACTCTGAGCATGCTGCTTCAGTCTCCTTTTTCCCCTTCCTCTAAAACTGAAACACATTCCTCCCAACATCCAGGTCTTTATCTGCAATCCTGACTGTGGGGCTCAGCCTCATGCAGCCCTGCAGGGCTCAAGTGCCCAGACCAGCCCCGGGGCAGCGCCGCTCACCTCCGGTAGCTCTCCTCTTGCAACAGGTTCCTTAGGGTCTGGAGGTCCCCGACGTAGGCTGCATCATGGAGCCTCGTGTCCTCACAGTGCTCCAGTGGATGATCACAAAACTGCTCCCTCAGCCACTCCTTCAGATTACGACCTGCGCTGAAGAGAGGGCTCCTGTTAGCTCAGGGAGGCCCTACCAAGGTTAACCAAAAGGGGGTGCCATCTGCAGCAAGTCTTCCCTCTCCCCGCTATGGGGCACATTCAAATGCTCAAGAAATAAATCACAAGCTGGGCATGGTGGCATGCCTATAATCCCAGCTACTCAAGAGGCTGAGGCAGGAGGATCACTTGAGACCAGGAGTTCAAGACCAGCCTGAGCAACACAGCAAGACCCTATCTGTAAAAACAAAAAGAGAAAATAGTAGAAACTTTCCCTTACCTTGACAAGATTAATTTTTTAAAAGTTGGTGGGGCCCAGGAATTATAAGCCAAACCTACTGAAGAATACAGAAGCAATATCCTAAAGAAAATATTTGCAGATTGAATCAATACTGTATCAAAGAATCTAGCATGCAATTACTCTAATTTACTCCAAGTATATGGGAATATCTTAAAACTGAGAAACTATGAAAGAGAACTATCGTCATCTCCTTCACTACAAAAAAAGACATAGGGCAAAACCCAAGGGCTGAGTAAATGCTGCTGTTTGCTCCACGGATGACTCCCTACCATGCTGCCCTGGGTAATGGCCACAGGGAGGCCTGCCTAAGAAACTCATGAGAAAGGTGCACTTGACCATACAGAAGTTCCACCTCAATGAAAAAGGTTAAAATACATGTACGTAAACATAAATCCAGCCCATATAACGAAGACTATAAAACTGAAAGGCAATACAAAAGAATAAGCAGAAAAAACACACCATGCACTTGGATAAAAAGATTCAAAATTTAAGGAATTTTAAATAAAGAATGAACCATTTCTTTGGGGTTTTGTTATCAGATGTCACAAAAAAATATGCTAAAGTTTATCTGAAAATATACGTAAGGGAGAACTTTTCTGGTTTTTTTAGTAAGTTACAGAGAAAAAGCCTTACCCTACTAGGTAAGAGAACGCTCATGAAAATGAAGATTAATAAATCAAACCATCAACGCCCAGAAAGACCTCAGTACAAGCAACTCAGTACCAGCACCCTTCACTGCACTTTATCAAGGTCCAGAGAACCGTGCTTTTTACAAACTGACGGTCTGTGGCAACCCTGTATTTAAGCAACACGATGTGTTCACTTTGTGTCTTCTGGGTCACAATCTGGTAATTCTTGGAATAGTTCAAACTTTTTCATTATTATTTTATCTGTTATGGTAATGAGTGATTTGTTGTTTGGGGGGCCACAAAGTGTGCCCATGAGCAGCGTGCTTAATCTATCCCCGTGGTCTGTGTTCTGACTGCTCCACCAACCAGCCGCTCCCTGTTGCTCCCTGTCACGCGCTCTCTCTCTCTCTCCCCCGACCCCAGCCCTCCCTGTTCCCAAGACACAGTACTGAAATTAGGCTACTTAATAACCCTACACTGGCTTCTGAGTGTTCAAGTTAAAGAAACAGTCACACATCTCTCACTTGAAATTAAAAGCTAGAAATGATTAAGCTTAATGAGAAAGGCATGTGGAAAGCTGAGAAAGGTTGAAAGCTAGGCCTCTTCTGCCAAACAGCCAAGTTGTGAATGCAAAGGAAAAGAGCTTGAAGGAAATTAAAAGTGTTATCCCTTTGAGGAACACACAATTTATAAGAAAGCAAAAGAGCCTTATTGCTGATATAAAGTCTGACTTATCTGGAGATTCTATCAAGCCAGCCACAACGTTCCCTTAGGCCAAAGCCTAATCCAGAACAAGGCCCCAACTCTCTCCAATTCTATGAAGCCTGAGAGAGCTGAGGAAGGTGCAGAAGCAAAGTCTAAAGCTAGCAGAGATTGGTTCACGAGGTTTAAAGAAACCATCTCCATCACACAAAAGTACAAAGTGAAGCAGCAAGTGCTGAAGTTATTCAGAAGACATGGCTAAAAGACGATTGGTGAAGATGGCTACACTAAACAACAGGTTTTCAATGTAGAAGAAACAGCCTTCTGTTGGAAAAAAGATGCCATCTAGGACTTTCACAGCTAAAGAGAAGCCAATGCCTAGTGTCAAAGCTGTAAAGGACAAGCCAACTCTCTCGTTAGGGGCTAATGCAGCCGGTTACTTTAAGCTGAAGTGAACGCTCACTTACCGTTCCAAAACTCCTTCTGCCTATGCACTAAAAACGAAACCACAAAGTCCAGGTGGCAGCACATCTGTTCACAGCATGGTTTAGTGAATCCTTTGAGCCCACTGTTGAGACCTACTGCTCAGAAGATTCCTTTCACAATAGTGCTGCTCATTGACAAAGCGCCTAGTCACTCATGAGCTCTCATGGAGATGGACAAGATTCATGCTGTTTTCATGCCTGCAAACATAGCCATTTCACAGCCTGTGGATCAGGGAGTCATTCTGACTTTCACATATTAACATCATTTAATACAATTTATAAGGCTATTGCTGCCATAGATAGTGGTTCCTCTGATGGATCTGGGCAAAAATGAATTAAAAACCTTCAGGAAAGAATTCACCAATCTAGATGGCATTTAGAACTTGTGTGATTCATGGGAGGAGGTCAAAATATCAACTTTAACAGGGGTTTGAAAGAAGTTGATTCCAACCCACATGGATGACTTTGAGGGGATCAAGACTTCAGTGGAGGAAGTACCTGCAGGTGTGGTGGAAATCACAGGAGAACTAGAATTACAGCCTGCAGATGTGACTAAATTACTGCAATCTCATGATAAAACTTGAATGGATGAGGAGTTGTTTCTTATGGATGAGCAAAGCAAGCACTTTCTTGCGATGAAATCTACTCCTGGTGAAGATGCTGTGAACACGGTCGAAATGACAACAAAGGATTTAGAAGGCGACACACACTTCATTGATAAAGCAGCAGCAGGGCTGAAGAAGACTGATTCCAATTTTTGAAAGAAGCTCTACTGTGGGTAAAATGCCATCAAACAACATCTCATGCTACAAAGAAATCTCATGAAAGGAAGAGCCAGGCGATAGGGCAACTTCATTGTCAACTAATTTAATAATTACCACTGCCCCCTGATGAGTCAGGAGCCATCAATACTGGAGCAAGACACTCCACCAGCAAAAAGTTTGTGACTGATAGCTCAGGTGATGGTGAGCATGTTTCAGCAATATTTTTTAACTAAAATGTGTACATTTTTAGACATAATGGTATTGTTGCACTCTTAATAGACCATAGCATCACGTAAACATAACTTAGATATGCACTGGGAAACCAAAAAATTCACATGACTTGCTTTATTGCAGTATTTACTTGATCACAGTGTTCTGGAACTGAACACACACTATCTCCAAGGTATGCCTGAAATTATAAACCAGCATCAAAATCAGCGAGAACATAAGAGTAGTCAACAAATGGCATTTGTACCATTAGGTACTTATTTGGAAATACTGAGTTATTCACCTCACATCATAACCCAAAATAAACTCCTGAAGATTTACGTTTTGTAAAAAGAGTTACACAGATTTGCATGTACATAACAAGCAAAAACACAGATGGCTTGGATTCAAGTCCCTGCCCTGCCATGCTGTCCTAGAGTGAGAACGGACATGCAGGTATAAAGCACACCCTCCATAAGGGGCTCTTCCAGATACTGAAATTTTTTTTTATATTAAAATCAAATCTCTTTTGAGTACTACTGTAGTCCATTGGGTGCTCATGCTGATTCTACAACCAGGCCGGTCACAGATCAACAAGCAGGCATGAGCAGCTCTTTATGCCACTATCCCAGTCTTCCTTCAGTAAGTATCCTCCCCTGTAATTAACCCCACAGTTGTGGTTACCAGAGTGAAAAAGTTCAGAGTAGGCGTGGGAAAGATTCAGGTGTAAGGCAATAACCAACAGGTAAATAGCAGCCAAAGGACTTTTGCTGAGCTCTCTTCTGGGCCCCCTCTGCTGGCCTCTGTGCTATCCATTTCTGGCCCATCTCAAAAGTAGCCTCAGAATCTTTCCCCAGCTCCAGATTCAAAAGCAACTTCATGTTTGTGTTTTGCTGACCAACTATTCCAATAACAACACAACTGCCCCAGGATAGCACTTAAGCTTCAACTGAAAATCTGTTGCCCCTCCACCCCAGGCCCAAAACACACTGAATAACAAAACAGCCGTGCATGAGGATATATAAAAAGGAGCCCTCGGTTGGGCACGGTGGCTCACGCCTGTAATCCCATCACTTTGGGACAGAGGCGACGCGGATCACGAGGTCAAGAGACCAAGACCATCCGGGGCAACATGATGAAACCCCTTCTCTACAAAAAATACAAAAATTAGGTGGGCATGGTGGCTCATGCCTGTAGTCCCAGCTACTCAGGAGGCTGAGGCAGGAGAATCGCTTGAACCCGGGAGGCGGAGGTTGCAGTGAGCCGAGACTGGAGACATCCTGGTGTCAGCGAGAGACTCCTTAAAAAAAAAAAAGGGGGGGGGCCCTTTGTAATCCTATCACTTTAGGATGCCAAGGCCAGGGGATCACCCGAGCTCAGGAGTTCAAGATCAGCCTGGTCAACATGGTGAAACCCCATGTCTACTAACACAAAATTTAGCCGGGCAGCTACTCGGGAGGCTGAAGCAGGAGAATCGCTTGAACCCGGGACTGAAATTCAGCTTGGACAACAAGGGCTAAACTCCATCTCCAAAAAAAACAAAAAAAAAACAAAAAAAAAGAGGAGCCCTGTGCAGCCGCCAAAGCCAGTGTTTCTTCCCCAGGGCCCCTCTCTATACTGGGAAGTAGCTGTCAGTCCTCTTTTTCCCACGGAACACCTCTCATTCCGTCTCTCACTCTCAGTGGAATGACATCCTAGACCCTAAGGCCCTGGCTGTCTGAAGTCAAAGTCAATGCCAACCAAAGCCCAGGGTGGTGGATTCTCTGCCTGGCTTGTTCTGGTCACTGCAGTTTCCCCCGCTGGGTCTAGCCAACAGTAGACCTTCAACAAAAGTCTCTTAAATGACTGGAAGGAGAAGGGGAGGGAGGGAGGGATGGAAAAGCCTATCGGCACCAGTCTCCAAGTCAATCTTTTGAGATTTTTAACAAATTTCTTGGTGTATTACTAAGAAGGAGAGGAAGCATGTAAAGGCAGAGCACAGGAAACCATTGGCGCGAATGGCAAACTCAGAAACCCGGAGGAAGGGACTCCCACACCACCGGGAAAGAGGAACCTGTCCCGACCGCTTCCTTCACACGTGCGTGGCAGGGGCCCTTCAGGGTGGACCACAGGATAAGTAGGTTATCTTGGACGGTGGGTGTGAGCCTTTCTAGCTGCCTCCTTTGCGGGTGGGCCAAAGGCCCCTGGACATGCTGTGTCACTGACGAGCTCGCTGGAGATGGCGTCCCCGTTGTCGCCGGTCTGTGCCCGTGGGGGGAGGGAAGGTGCCCCGCTGTACCACCGGTCACGTCGTGGGTGGCAGAAGGGTGCAAGGGTGCCCGCCCTCCGGGAGGCTCTCCGGATCCGTGCACTCAGAGCTGGAGGGCGCGCGGCCTGCTTTTGCCGCTGGGTGCTATCAAATCCGTATCGGCTCACCCGAGAGAAGCTACGAGCAAGTTCCACTGGAGAAAAAAACTCCAGCGCGGGGACTACACTCGAGGCTGAGGAGCCGGCAGCGTGTCCGCGCTGGGGCCGCCGCGCACGACGAGCCGCGCTGACCCCCGACCCCGGCCTGCGGGAAACGGCTCCCTGGCTGCCCCGTGGGCCCGGCCAGCCCGGGACGAGGACGCAGGACCTCGGCAGGGACGCCAGAGCCAGCCCTCGCCATCCCCACACGCCCCGCGGCAGCCGCGCGCACGTTACCTGCGGACCCCGGCCCCGCCCGCCCGTCTGGGCTGCCGCCCTCCGCCATGAGTGCTTCCGCCTCCGCGGCCGCCACGAGCCCGCCGCGCCCCTCAGGCAGGAAGCAGAGCTGCCCGCGACCACTTCCGGCGCCACGGGCGAAGGGGCCGCGTCGGGGTCACGGCTTCCGGCGGGCGCGCGCTGGCCTCACTGGTTTCCGCGTCCGCGCCTCCACTTCCGGCTTCCCTGCCGAGCTGGGCGCTGGCGGGTTCCGGCGTGGACTTCGCGAGTTACCGGCTGTCGGGGCGCCGGGTGCGCTGTGGTTTCCCCTCATAAGAAGCCAAGGAGTCGGAAAGCGCGTTGCCTGGGGCAGCAGCCTGGGTCCGTTCGATCGGGTGTTCCCACCGCCACGGACGGGGCGTGGCTTCTGCCGGATGTGGGCGGGGCCCCGGCGGGCGGGACCCGGGCCTGGGCTAGGCTGGCGGGGTCCCGGCAGGTGCCCCCCGAGCCACTAGCAGCCCCGGGAGGGTGGATTCGGAGGCGCGGAGAGTGGTGACAGCCACGGCAGGGCTGAGCATCGCAGCGTGTTGTTTTGGATGAATGCTCCCCCAAATCCCTTCCATGAAGCCCCCAATCAGCTCGGAGGTTGATGACAGCCAGTGGCTGACGCGGAGTTCATTGAATAAGTGAATGCGTTTGTGAACAAACGAGTAACATTCCCTGCACACTCCCAAGTTCAAATATCGCAGCGTCGTCCCGCCGTGAGTATTGGTTTTGGTCCTTCAGCACGGATTCCCTTGGGGTCCTCCCATTCTCCCCGGCCGAGTTAGAAAGCAGGCCTCGGGCAGGAGGAGACTAAGGAAGGACGGAAAGCCCTGCAGTCGTGGGCGTGACCTGCTGGCCCATCCTTGTGTACAACACACCAGATAGTAAGGAAGCCGCAGGCGCAGCCCCGCAAGTGCCCCTGCTGAGGCTGGCCCTGAGTGACCAAGATACACTGGGTGGGTCCACCTGGGTGCAGACCTGTCGGGGGTGGAGGCGGGAGTAGGGGGTACTTCCTGCAGTGGTGTTTGGACTTGATGACAGCAGAGAGCACCGCTGCCGTGAGGGACAGGTGACTCCGATGATGACGCTGCTCCACCGCAGCTGCACATCCAAACTCTTGGAGCTTCGGCAACTCCGAAGCCTGAAACCGACTCACGTGTTCGTGAATGAATAAACGAAATGCAGTCCATCCATGCAATGGAGTAGCGCTCAGCCTTCGAGAAGAAGGAAGTCCTGACACATGCCACAACAGGGATGACCTTGAAGAAGTTATTCTGAGTGAGATAAGCCAGTCACAAAAAGACAAAGACAGTACTGTGTGATTCCACTGACGTGAGGTCATAATGTGGAGGAGTGAAATCGCAGAGTGGAGTGGGGGTTGCCAAGGGCTGGGGAAGTGGGGAATGAAGAGTGAATGTTTAATGGGGACGGAGTTTCAGTTGAGGAAGGTGAAAAAGTTTTGGAAATCGGTTGCACGACAATGTGAATTGTGAATTAACACTACTGAACTGCGCATTTAAAAAAGGTTATGTTTTGTGTTCTATATTTTACCGCAATTGCTTTATTTTTTAGAATAGGCTCTGGTGCAGTCAGTCTGGGGTGTGGGTTGGCCGTTGGGTCGTTCAGAGCCGGGTGATTCTAATGCGCAGCCAGGTGAGAGCCAGGTCTCCGAGGGCCTCCACTGCTTTGCCTGTCTGGTTCCTGTGGGCCCACAGTGAGTGTCCCATGTGTCAGCAGCCTTTGCATCAAGGTATTGAGTGCCCTGAGCAGAGCTTCCCTCCTGCGCCTGCAGCTCCACCTCTCCTGCCAGCTCCATCTCTCCTGCCACGTGTTCCCCTTGGGATGTTGCCTCTTCGAAAAACCTGAGGCTGCGTCATCCGTGGTGGAGAAGTGGCCTCACATCCCTATCTCTATGCCTCTTAAATGCCCGCAAGGTGCAGTGCAGCATCCACAGAACCAGCAGTGTGGGAGCAGGAAGGACACATAATCACTGGCCACGCTCTGCAATTACCATCACCCCCATTTCTCAGGACCCTGAGACCAGGGGGCGTGGTGCTGTCCCCAGAACCTCACAGCCCGCCTTCTCAGACCTCACGTCTCCAGAGCCCCTTTTCTTCCAGATCCTCTGAGCATAAAAGAGCCACCCAGTGGCCACTGGAGTTGAATCCACTCGGTCACATCACCTACAAGCCGCAGGACCTTGCCAGTGCCGTCCCAGCCGGCACACCGGCGGCAGGACCTGTGCAGGGGGCTGTCTGTGCCCCTCCAGGACCCCATGGCTCCCTCCCGTTTCCCCACCCCTGCATTTCCTCCTACCATAAAATTACCCTTCGCCTCCTGTTGCCCCCTGGAGGCTCAGGCCTCCCCCACAGTGGCCCCAGTGGCCCCTCCGTGTAGCCTAGCCCAATCTTTCTGGCAGAAAATATGGCGGTGTAGCTAAAGCATCAGAATGAGTAGTCCTTGATCAGAAATGCCTCTTCCAGGCATTAGTTCTAGGGAAGTAATCAGATGTGTGACAGATTCATCTACAGTAGTACTGGTTAAGCATCATTTTGTAACAAAATGTCCAACAATGGGCCTTCTGGCTCCGGAGGTCTGAGAAGGGGCTCCCATCCCTCATACCTCCTGTTACAGGTCACTGGGGGCCCCTCCGGAAGCACAGCAGGAATATAGGGGGCTGGAAATCGGAGCCCCACAGCTGCTGGGCCTAGGTGTGCCAATGCTGCTGCCGCTCAAACCCCATGGCTGTCTCTGGGAACTGGGCAGAAGATGTCACCCAGACAGGGACCAGAAATGGGACTCTCTCCTGGTCCTAGGCCCTGTGGGCCTGTGTTTGGGGCGTCTCATCCCAGGGGGCCCAGCGCTCTCCTTTGAAGGATCTCCTCAAAGCAGGGCATCTGAAGGTTTACCAGGTGAGGCCGTGAGATGAGGGCAGCTGGCCAAGCCTCCAGGCTTTGCCCTGGAAACCCCTTTACCAGCCCCTGCCCCGCAGACCCTGTCTCAGGCCTTGGAGCCCACCCATGGTGAGTCAGGGTGTCTGCCCCAAGCTAGGGAGCCAGATCCACCTCCTTCCAGCTGAGCCACCAGACAGGGCAAAGCCTCCAAGCATCAGCTGCCTCCCTGTAAAATGGGCTGGTAATACCTACCTTGCAGGCTTTGTAAAGACCCAAAATCCCATAGAAAGTGCCACGGGCTTCCAGGCAGAGAGAGCCTCAGCAAACCCTCACAATGGCAGGGCTCTGCTGTGTGAAGCCCATCCCACCCTGTCCCAAATTGAGCCCACCTTCTCTGCCCAGCTGGGAACAGAGCAGGGCTCAGGGGCAGAGGCAGTGTCCCAGCAGGCCCTCAGCTGGGCCCTGCAGGGCTGGGCAGAGCGCAGGCAGTGGTCTTCCTGCAGCCCTCGAAACCTCCCTCTTCCAGCCAAGTCGGCCTCTGCCTGGATGTGGTTTATCCTGGCATGGGGGCCCCAGGGGAGGACCGGGGAGCCCAGCAGCAGGGACTGCAGAGGACACAGTGGGAGCCCTGCCAAGGGGGTGCCCTCGCCTAGTCCCCCCACAGGTGCCATGCTGCCTTGCGTGGTGTGACCGAGAACTCCACGGGTGTCGGGAGGCCACGGTGTTCAGTAAGACCGTGCATCCTCTGCAGGGGCCTGCATCTCTCCAGGCAGCACCCGTGGAAGGCACCTACTATGTGCTGGTCACTGCCGCAGGGGGAGGAGTCAGAGGTGAGGAAATCTCAGTCCCAGAGCAGGGACTGGCCGCAGAGACAGGAGATTCTTAGAGACTCCTCGGCCCCAGGGGGACCAACAGCCCAGCTTGCCCAGCACTGAGCGGGCTCCAGAACACAGGGCTGTCAGTTTTCAAAGCAGGGTGAGTGGAGACCCTATCCCAGCCCTGGGCTCCTCTCCCTGCCTGTCCTACTACGGTGCTGGAGCCTCTGAGCTGGCCCCGCCATGCCCTCCCAATGCCAGGTTAACTTTTCCTGCCATACCAGTTGGTCTCTGTCACTCGGCCTCACAGACTCCTTCATGACCCCCTGAATGCCCATGTATAGACTCCTGGAGGAGCCTGGGCATCTGAGGCCCATCCCAAGAAGAGCCCCAACCTCCTTCCCCTCCTCCAGCTCCCAAGCTCCAGCCTAGAACCTGACCCTCCAGGGTCAGCATGCTTTCCCTAGGGTCTGCGCACGAGGCTCCCTCCCTCCCGCACCCCTGTCCTGGTGACCTCTGTCTCCTCACCAGATGCCCCCCCACCCCCTGGCAGCCTTACCCAGCCGGTTGGGGCCTTGGCTCCAGGCCCTCCGGGCAGCATTTCTCTCTCCTCACCTGACTGCAGCTGCCAGCGAGCCAGCTTATCTCTCCTGGCAGATGCTTAGGTTCCTTGAAATGGCTTCTGGTAGGAGGGGTATTTTGATTCTCTCACAGGAGCTGGTCCAGGCCTGAACCAACAGATAAAGTCAGGCTCTGAAACTGAGAAACTGCCACACCAGGGCACCAGGGTCCTAGGGTTCAGGGGCAAGCAAAGCTGGACACCATCCCGTGGAGCCTACAGACCAGCATGGAGGGGCTGAATGGCAGCCCCCAAATAGTCCACAGCCTAAGCTCTGGAAACTGTGAATGGGACCTTATTTGGGAAAAGGGTCTTTGCTGATGCGATCAACGATCTCAGGATGAGATGACCCTGGACTGAGGGCAGGCACTAACCCAATGGCAGCTGCCTTTACAAGAGAAAGGCAAAGGTAGATTGGAGAGAGAGAAGGCAGTGTGGAGACGGGGCTGGAGAGTGCAGTGATGTGGCCACAAGCCAAGGAACACCTGGGGTCCCCAGAAGCTGACAGAGGCAGGAAGGACCCTCGTGCAGGGGGTGGGGTCAGGGGGAGCACAGCCCTGGGGACACCCAGGCTTCAGACAGGTCTGCGGTGAATTGTTTCCACAGCCTCAGGACTCCTACATCCAGTAAAGAAACTGGAATTACAGTTGCTCCAGGCTGAGGACCAGCAGGAGAGGCCAGGGCTGGGAGCAGGGAGGCCTCTCTGGGAGCCACACCAAAGATAAGAAGACATAACTCCCCTTCGCCCTGTTACTCAAAAGCACTGCCTTGCTAACATTTTCTTTCTCAGGAATTTGTCTCACGTTTGGAGTATATTTTCCCCTAGGTTATCAGCAGAAAACAGCCTAACGGGCGCGTCGGTGGAGCTGAGCCTGTCGCCTCATGCAGTGCCACCGCAGAGCCCTCGGCTGTGTCTCCTGCAGAGGTCACCCTGGGGTCAGAACCAGGGCTGCCTTGGTCAAGGGCCAACCGCACGGCTGTTTCTGAAACCATCAAGTCCGAGAATGCCCGTGTTACAATTAATAAATGGCATTGTTAACCGACGTGAACAAAGCCAGCCTTCATTGCTTTCTTTAGTGGCCCATTTGGTGAAGCACTTAAGAAGAGCCCTGGCCAACATACACACATCATGGTTTTAATTACATCCTGTGAATTTATTTTTCCAGAGAGAAATATTTCTCAGGGAAATGTCCATAAAAGCAACGTTAGCAGAGTGTGATGGTGTGTATGTGTTTCCTCTAGGAAATCTGTTTAGTTTAAGTCCCAGCTTGGAGCACCACTTTTTACAAAGACAGGGGACCTGAAGAAGGCTGCCGACCGCCGGAGAAGGCGGTGTCCCAGCGGGGAGGAAGTCTCCCGGCCCCTCTGCCCTTCATCTCTCTGGGAACTTGCCCCTCTCTCCTTTTCCACGTAGGAATTCTGAATTGCTCTTGGAAGCCCGAAGTGGGCTGGGATGTTCTCTAAACCCCCCAGCTGAGAGCCCCTCTGTGGCTGGCATTTCTTACCAGTGTGAAAAGGACATTTTTGAAAATGGAATCCTGTTTTCACCACTCTAAGGAAAGTCACAACTTCAGACTTTTCCAGCAGTTCCTGTTGTCCATTGAAAACGTTTGCTGGAGAACTAGGCACTCTCCCCAAGCTGCTGGGATTGTTTCTTAGGTTGCCCTCCGTTGTTAGGGCAGTGACCCCCATATCAACACCGCATCACCAGACTTGGTTTGCAGGTCACTGCTTACCAGCGGCACAAGCACAAGGACTCAGGCTGGGCACTTTCTAATCTCTTCGGTCTCTGGGTCTCCTGCTTCCAGGACAGGGCTCGAATCAAGGACTCACTCTGGACGGACTGCCAGACTGATGGACTGACAACTGACTGATGGACTGACAACTGACTGACTGCCAGACTGATGGACTGACGGACTGCGTGGCTGACTGACTATCAGACTGACGGACTGCCTGGCTGACGACTATCAGACTGACGGACTGCCTGGCTGACTGTCGGACTGATGGACTGACTGACTGCCAGATGACCGACTGCCAGACTGACTGACTGCTGGAATGATGGACTGACAGACTGACTGGCTGACGGACTGACTAGCTGCCAGATGACTGACTGCTGTACTGCCTGACCGACAACTGACTGGCTGCTGGACTGACGGACTGACTGACTGCCAGACTGACTGACGACTGACTGCCGGACTGACAGACTGGTGGACTGACTGACTGCCAGACTGCTGGACTGACTGGTTGACGGACCCACTGGCTGCCGGATAACTGACTGCCGGACTGACTGACTGCTGGACTGACTGCTGGACTGACTGGTTGACGGACCCACTGGCTGCCGGATAACTGACTGCCGGACTGACTGACTGCTGGACTGACTGCTGGACTGACTGGTTGACGGACCCACTGGCTGCCGGATAACTGACTGCCGGACTGACTGACTGCTGGACTGACTGCTGGACTGACGGACTGACAACTGACTGACTGCTGGACTGACGGACTGACTGACTGCCAGACTGACTGACAACTGACTGACTGCCGGACTGACTGACAACTGACTGACTGCCGGACTGACAGACTGGTGGACTGACTGCTGGACTGACTGCTGGACTGACGGACTGACTGGTTGACGGACCGACTGGCTGCCGGATAACTGACTGCCGGACTGACTGACTGCTGGACTGACGGACTGACGGACTGATGGACTGACTGGCTGCAGGGCTGATGACGGGAGGAGTGCATTTTTAAAAGGAAAGTAAGTTGTCCCCATTACACCAATCTAGGAAATGACCTCTTTTCCTTTCTCTATGTAAATTTCATGTCCTTATTCACAGGCACATAAAATTACAAAATCAGGATCATGGTGTAGACACACATTTGTCCCCCACTTTCCTTTCTGTCGTGAACCTAATGATGCATTTATGTAAATGGAATTCCTCAGGCTCTCTCAGACACAAGCAAAACAAGATGGGGTAAGAAAATCAATCGCCAGGAGCTACAGTTTCTGTACTGTGGGGAATTAGAGGTCTGATGGGCCTCCTGGTGGAAACAGCTAAAATGCTGAAGAAAATGTAAAAATCCTCTTGTTAGAGGCATCCTCGGGCTGCCACAGAGGCCAGAAGCAAAGAGAAGGCAGAAACCTTGCAGCTTAGTGGGGCCGGAGCAGCACTCATCTCAGACTCTCTGCTGAGGGCTTGAGCTTCGACCTAGATGACTGCACAGGGTGCAGAAACCAGTTTAGGGCAGGACTCTCCCACAGAATGCTCACGTAGACCTGGCACCCGAGAGAGCCTGCCCTCAGGGTAAAAAGTAATGAGACTAAGAACAACAGCAACAAAAACAAAGCACAAATAACCTCATTTTCAAAACAGGCAAAATGGCTGGGCACAGCGGCTCATGCCTGTAATCCCAGTGTTTCGGGAGGCCAAGGTGAGAGGATCGCTTGAGCTCAGGAGTTTGTGACCAGCCTGGGCATCCCAATAAGACCCTGACCTCTACCAAAAGAGAAAAAAATAGGCAAAAGACTGGAATAGACATTTGTCCAAAGAAGATACGCCCTTAAGCAATAAGCATCTGAAAAGATGCTCAACATTAACCTTTAGGGACGTACACATCAAAACCACATGCAATAGTGTTTTGCGCCCACGAGGACGGCTATTTAGAAAGAATAGAAAATGGCAAGTGCTGGCAAAGATATGGAGATTCTGCACTACTGGTGGGAACTTAAAATGGCACGGGCTCCATGGAAAATGGCACGGGCACTATGGAAAGTGGCACGGGCACCATGGAAAGTGGCACGGGCACCATGGAAAGTGGTACGGGCACCATGGAAAGTGGCACGGGCACTATAGAAAATGGCACGGGCACCGTCGAAAATGGCACGGGCACCGTGGAAAGTGGCACGGGCACCATGGAAAATGGCACGGGCACCATGGAAAGTGGTACGGGCACCATGGAAAATGGCACGGGCACCATGGAAAATGGCACGGGCACCATGGAAAGTGGTACGGGCACCATGGAAAGTGGCACGGGCACCATGGATAATGGCACGGGCACCATGGAAAATGGCACGGGCACCATGGAAAGTGGCACGGGCACCATGGAAAGTGGTACGGGCACCATGGAAAGTGGCACGGGCACCATGGAACGTGGTTCGGGCACCATGGAAAATGGCACGGGCACCATGGAAAGTGGCACGGGCACCATGGAAAGTGGCATGGGCACCATGGAAAGTGGTTCGGGCACTATGGAAAATGGTATGGTGGCCACTCAAAAAATCAAACAGAATTGCCACGTGACCCAGCAATTCCAAGCATATCCAAAAGAATTAAAACTAAGGGCTTAGATGTTTGTAGACCCATATTTATTTGTAACAGCATTATTCACACAGCCAAAAGGTGGAAGCAACCCAAGTGTCCGTGAGTGAATGAATGGATCCACAAAACATGTTTATCCACATCCTAGAATATTCTTCAGCCTTAAACAGGAAGGAAACTTTGTGATATGCTACTGAACACCTTCATGCTATGCAAAATAATCCAGACACAAAAGGGCAGATGCTGTATGATTTTTTTTTTTTTTAATTATCTTGTTGCATACCAACCTTGTTCACGTTTTCATGCCGTTTTCACCTCACTCATGAGGTGTCTAGAGTAGTCAAATTCATCAAGAGAAAGAAGGGCAGTCCAGCCAGGGGCTGGGGGAGGGGAAGCAGGGAGCTAGTGATTTAAGGGGTGTGGAGTTTCCATTTTCAGGATGAAAACCTTCTAGAGATCAGTTGTCTAACAATGTCAACACACTCAACACTACTGAAATGTACACTTAAAGATGGTTGAGGGGTAAGTCACGTATTATGTGTATTTTATCACAATTTTTTTTAAAAAACTTAAGATAACATTGAGGAGGAGGTGGAGGTCGAAGTATTGTCTCAGCAAAATAGCCTGCTCATCTCAGCCTTGGCCCAGGCCGGGCCTCACGTGAGGTTCAGGTCAGAGTCCCACCCCAATTCACACTTCGCTGTTCTGAAAACTCTCAAGCTTAGAACCTACCTGACAGGAGTTCTAGGTTGATGGTGCCCCAAGCAACTGGCAGGAGCAAATATAGTTCCTTTCTAGAGACCGCTTCAACCTGGGCCTCAAAGAATTACCACAGATAAAGTTCCAAGAAAAATGACCTCTCATGGGACAAAAACAGCAAAGTAAGCACAGAAGGAGAGTCAGCAAAAGGGTCCTTCACAGCTTCAGACACTGACAAGACACCGAATATGAAGCCACCGTCTGTCTGTCCAGTGCTGGCCGACTGAGCCCTGTTCAAGGAAATGGACACAAAAGTGACATAAATGGACAAAAGTCTCAGCCGCCGTGGAGTTGACACACCTGCACCCTGGCTACGCGCACACACGAGAAGGGCGCAGGGAGTGCCAGGCTGGGGAAGGTGTCAATTCCAACTTCAGTGTTTACGTAGTAAAAAGCGGCATGAAAACGTGAACAAGGTTGGTATGCACAAGATAATTAAAAAAAAAAAAAAAGGCCGGGCACGGTGGCTCACGCCTGTAATCCCAGCACTTGGGAGGCCGAGGCAGGTGGATCACGAGGTCAAGAGATCGAGACCATCCTGGTCAACATGGTGAAACCCCGTCTCTACTAAAAATACAAAAAATTATCTGGGCATGGTGGCGCACACCTGTAATCCCAGCTACTCAGGAGGCTGAGGCGGCACAATTGCCTGAACCCAGGAGGCGGAGGTTGCGGTGAGCCGAGATCGCGCCATTGCACTCCAGCCTGGGTAACAAGAGTGAAACTCGGTCTCAAAAAAAAAAAAAAAGAAAGAAAATGTGAGCAAGAGCCAAGAGACTTCACAGAAAGAACCAATATATTTTAAAAAAAGATTAGAACTTCTAAAATGAAATGAAAACAATGGTCAAAAAAAGTATGAAATGGTTGCAGTGAAAAGCATATTAGAGATGTCTGAAGAGGCAACTGGTTGTGGACTTAAAGATGGTGCTCAAGAAATCATCCTAGCTGGGCAAGGTGGCTCACACCTG